TTAGAAGAAGGAATAAACTAGTCATAGAAAGCAGAGGGAGGAAGGGGACTGGGAGAGAGAGGGGATAGGAGAGGAATGGGGGAATCACGATCAGTTGTGGAGTAGAGACAGGAGGGTAAGCCAGAGTGAAAGGAGAATGAATGAAAATCTACAGCTACAGTGGTGGGGGATCTCTAGGAAGCCCCAGAGTCCTGGGACAGGGGAGGCTACCAGGAGTCAATGCAGGTGACCTTAGCTGAGATAACAACAATGGGGAAATGAGAACAGAAGAGGCCACCTCCTGTAGCCTCTTTATCCCACAGTGGAGGGATAAAGACACCAACCCACCCACAAAACTTTCAACCTAAAATTTGTCCTGCCTAAAGAAAATATAACGACAAAGATGGATCAGAGATTGAGGGAATGGCCAACCAATAACTAGCCCAACATGACACCCATCCCATGGGCAAGACCAATCCCTGACACTATTTATGATATTCTCTTATGCTTGCAGACAGGAGTCTAGCATTACTGTCCTCTGAGAGGCTCTATCCATCAGCTGACTGAAACAGGTACCAACACCCATAGCTAAACTCTGGATGAATAGTCCTGGTCAGGGACTATTATGGAAGAGTTAGGAGAAGGACTAAAAGCCCTGAAGAATTGCTGGAGTTATCTCCAATTTCAAGTTGTACTACAAAACTATAATAATAAAAACAGCATATTTATTTTTTTGGCACAAAAAAAACCCCAGAAACATTAATCAATGAAATCAAATTGAAGGCCCATACATAAATCCACACAGATATGGACCTCTTATTTTTGATATAGAAGAAAGAAACATTCATTGGAAAAAGACAATGTCTTCAACAACTGGTGATGTTCAAACTGGATGATTACATGTAGAAAAAATGCAAATAGGTCCATACTTATCACCCTGCACAAAACTTGACTACAACTGGATCAAAAACCTCAACATAAAACCTGATACAATGTATCCAATAGACGAGAAAGTAGAAATTAGCCTTAAACTCATTGGCATAGAAGAAGACTTCCTGACCCAAACACTGATAGTGCAGACAAAAACAAATAAATGGGACCTTTTCTAACTGAGAAGCTTCTGTAAGGCAAAGGTCACCATTCAGAAAAATGGCTATGTACATAATAGAAAAAGATTATTAACAATTAAACATCCATAGAGAGCTGGGGATATGAAACCTGAAAAGGCCACCACCTGTAGCCAGGCAGGAACCCCAGTGACATGATAGAGACACCAACCCACCCACAAAACTTTCAACCCAAAATTTATCCCATCTACAAGAAATTTAGGCATGGGGGACAGAGCAGAGATTGAGGAAATGGCCAATTACTAACTGGCCCAACTTGAGACCCATCCATGGGCAAGCACCAATCTTTGACATTAATGATACTCTGTTATGCTTGCAGACAGGAGCATGTCGTCCACTGAGAGGCTTCACCCACCAGTTGACTCAGACAGATACAGACATCCACAGCCAAACAGTGGATTGAGCTTGGGGACTCTTATAGAAGAATACAAGGAAGGACTGTAGGCTCCAAAGGTATTGGAACTCCACAGGAAGACCAACATAGTCAACTAGTCTGGAACCTCAGAGTCTGAACCACCAACCAAAGAACATACATAAGCTGGACCTAGACTTCCACACACATATGTAGCAAATGTGCAGCTTGGTCTTCATGTAGGTCCTGAACAACTGGAACAGGGACTACCCCAAAAGCTATACGTGGGATATGTTCTTCTAGGTGGTTTGCCTGGCCTGGCCTCAGTAGGAGAGGAAGCTCGTAGCCTCACAGAGACTTGAACTACCAGGGTGGGAGGATATCCAAGGAGAGGAGAACAGGAGGGACGGTAGGGGAAGGATTGTGGATGGAGGTGACCAGGATGGGAGCAGTGAGGGGGATATAAAGTGAATAAGTAAAAAATATATAATTAAATTTAAAAAATAAAACAAATTTTAAAAATAAAACAATTAAAACTCGGGTACAGATCCAAGTAGAATTCTCAATAGAGGAAAATGACTAAGAAACATTTAAAGAATTATGCACATCCACAGAAAAGCACTAATCAAAACTACTTTGAGATTTCATCTTTCACCTGTCAGAATAGCTAAGATCAATAAAACAAGTGACACTTCATACTGGCTTGGACATGGATCAAGGGAAATACTCATCTATTGTGGGTGGAGAGCAAACATACAGCCACAACAGAAATCAGTGTGGCAGTTCCTCTGGAATCTCAGAATCAGTCTACCTCAAAATGCAGATATACCACTCTTGGGCATATACCCAAAGGATGCTTCATCCTACAACAAAGACATTGCTCAGCCATGTTCATTGCATTCTATCCATAATAACCCAAAATTGGAAGCCGTCTAGATCTCCCTCAACAGAAAAAATAGATTTAAAAAAATATGGTACATTTACAGAATAGAGTATTACTCAGCTATTTTTAAAAAATGACATTTGCAGGCAAATGAATAGAACTAAAAAAAAATCATTCTGAGTGAGTTAACCCAGACCTAGAAAGACAAATATGACCAATGCTTTGTTCAACCATCATCAGAGAAGCTTCCTGCTGCAGCAAATTGAAACAGATTCAGAGACCCATAACCAGTCATTATGCAAAGGGTGAGAGACCTTGGAACACTCAACCCCAGATGGAATGTCTCCATCAAATCCCTTCCCTCAGAGCCCAGGGAACCCACAGAATGAGAGGCAGAAAGAATATAACAGCCAGAGGGGATGAGAGACACCAAGAAAATAAGGCCTTCTCAATCAACAAGATCAAAGAAAATAAGGACCTCTCAATCAACAAGGTCAAGGTTCTTATGCAGTCATAGAAATTGAAGCAGAAGGAACAGAACCTACACTGGCCTGGACCAAGTCCTCCGAGTATATGTTATAGCTTCCAGTTCAGTGTGTTTAATGAGATTCCTGAGTGTGTGAATGACTGGGTCTCTGATTCTTGTGCTTTCTCTTGGGTGCTTTCCCTTCTGTTGGTTTGTCTTGTCCAATTTTGGTGATCATTTTTGTTCTATCTTATTTTATTTGGTTATATTTTATTATTATCTCTTAGCAGCTTTTGTTTCTTTGTTTTGTTTTGTTTTGTTTTTAATGAGAAACAGAAAGGGAGTAGCTCTAGATGGGAGGGAAGATTGGGAAGAACTGGAAGGAAACAAGGTTGGTAACCATAATCAGAATATATTCTATGAGAAAAGAATCTATTTTCAATAAAGTGAAAAGAGAAAAATGGTACTAAGGCTTCTACTTGAAAAATACTCTATGGTCACTTAGATGCCAAGGTACATGAAGTTGTGTTTCTATATTTAAAACACTCTTTTTACGTAACATTTTACTAATCCAACTGATTCTTTCTCTCACACTGCCATTCCCAGTCATCTAGTGGTAAGTCAGATAGTTGATGGTTTACATCTATGGCATTCTCCATTTCCAATTAATCATAAGAGGTCATTCAAACGCAAAGCTACAAGACAAACTTGAAATGTATAATAATTTTTGGTGAGGTTTGGACACAAACAAATATTAAATTGCCATGTCATGGGTTTTAGCCTTTGAATGATGAATTAATCAGCATACAGGCATTGCTGAAGTGGATTGAAGTCTTACCAAGTAATTTTTGAGTAGCATAAAACATGAGCTGCTGACACAGAATGGAAAATGAGTTAAAGAGAGACACTGTGAAATGAGAAACAGAGATAAGGCGTTAGAATAAATTATCTGTTCTGTCTGTTATTTGTCTTTATTTGAGGCTTTTAAATTAATTGTACTGAGCTAAATGCAAATGTGAAATTAGCATTATAAAGAGAACTCGAGATCTAAAATAGGTAAATATTTACTATGTGCCTAACATTTGATGTTACAACAAAAAGTGTCAAGCAAAGGGAGGATCTCAAGTGCTTACAAAATAATAAGATGTTTCAACCAGAAACGTTCTTGCTGGAGAGATGACTCAAGAGTTAAGTGCACATAAGCATCTTCGGAGGAGTTCAATCCCCAGCATCCATAACCACCTGACTCCAGCCCAGGGGACACATTTTCTGGCCTCTGTGAGCACCTGTGCTCACATGCACACACTTCCACTGACACTCATGTACACTCTAACACACAATTAAGACAGCTTTTGAAAAAGAAACGTTCTTATACATTCTTGATGGATGGCTTAATTTGTTTTTAAATTTTTTAATATTCACATATATATGTATACACATACACACACGTGGGTGTATGTGTATGTCTCCCATTATCTCCTACAAAATAGGCTAAAGGTACAAAATTCTGAGGCTACTTTAAGACATGTACCACTATGTGAACTCCGTTGAGTAAAGTACAAACAAGAATTGTACTGGATTCTGAGAACACACGTCTTCTGTCTTTGATCTGAGAAGTCGTTTAAGGATTCACTGCTATGTGAATTTGGCTTCAAAGAACAAATAGAATTTCAATAAAGAAGCTGCAGTGATGGATATTTTAAGATTCAAGAAGCAGCTGGCTTAAGGAAGTCACAGAAGGCTAGCCCCAGATGCAGGTGAGCAGAACCTTCATGGAGAGTAGCTGACTATTTAGTGGGCATTAATGAAGTCAATCACTGTGTTTTTCACGAATGATAAATTCCTATAGAGGAAATAATGAGATTAAGAGTTTGTCCTGGGGTTGGAGAGATGGCTCAGCAGTTAAGAGCATTGGCTGCTCTTCTAAAGGTCCTGAGTTCAAATCCCAGCAACTATGTGATGACTTACAAAATCTGTAATGGGATCTGATGCTCTCTTCTGGAGCGCACTCATACATTAAAAAAATAAAAGTTAAAAAAAAAAAAGAGTCTGTCCTGAAAGTCAGACAGACTTGGGATTGACACCAGAAAAAGTTAATTAACCAGCATTTTCATGTTTCTTCTCAAATGCAATTAGTAATCAATTCTTAAGAAACTTAAAGGAGACATACATAGGGTGTCCACCCATAGTACATAGTATTAAAGTTATTATTTATTTATTTATTTATTTATTTATTTTGCCATTGGAAAGTAATAGGATATCAAAAGATTTGAATACAAATTACAATGTTTTCTAGAGCATTTGCTCTTTGTCAAGCATTTGACAAGTGGTAGCTCACAGAAGATTAGGAGAACAAACCCCTCACAATCACAGAGCTAGAACCAGGATCCATTTGGACACCAAAGGCAGAACACGAGTCACCTACCCACAGCACCACTCTTTGGCTGTGTAACAAAGTCCATAGCCAGTTCTCTGTCTCCAGTTCTTCTCCATGTGTGAAATGGAGATGCTGTCTCATAAAAGCAAGCCTCTGCTTCAATTAAATCTCATTTCTAAAAGAGTAGTGGGCCACTCTTGACTTCCCAGCTTCCCTATCTAGTTCTATGACTTCTTCGGGTCTAACTAACTACAAGCTTGGTGATACAGGACAATCGTTTGACCAACCTCTAGCGCTTACTTCCCCTTTCTGTCACATTAGGCCAATTGCGAACCATTATTGTGGGGATAAAATTAAATGATGTGTGTAGACATACACTGTGAACTCAGATTTCGTGAGCTTTAGACTCCATAGTATAAAGTATGCAAACTACGAATTACCCTAATAGAAGGTAGGGAATGTCGATTTCTATGGAAGGACATTAATCCCAGACTTTTGTCACCTCACTCAGAATTCCCCATTTCAATGACAAGTATTTCCTTCTTAAAATTGTCATAAATGTAACACTAGGCTCGAAGCCTCCAAGAAGGTTCTGGTGTGGTTCTGTGGGAAAGGGCCTGTCTAACATGAGCATTTGCCAATATGCTTACACCCTGAGTTTCTACTCCCAGAAACACAGTTGGGGGAATCTCAAAGAGTTTTTCTTTATTTCTGGACCCTGATATTGTAAGACTCTAGCAACCAGGGCCTTAGTTTACCTGAGACCCCCTGAGTGAACCATGTAGAGACGAGAGTCACTGCAAAAAGCAAGAGGAATTTTTAATGCTCCAACACATGGGGATCGTCCTACACGGAAGGTGGAGTGGTGACCATAAACTGCCCATTTAGTCGGTTCTTATACTGTTTAAGGGGTAGACTAGAGAAACAACGACTAGGCACATTATTATTGTCAGAACAGTGTGACTTTTAAACTGACTGGTCTTTAAGGAATGAGGTGGCAGGGGTTTCCCTTGCCTGTGGGTGGCTGACAGTCATCTTGTGGAACGTGGGTGGCTGACAGTCATCTTGTGGAACATGCTTGACCAGCAGGTCGGGTTTTCACTTCGGTTGTCTGAGGGATGTTGATTAGCCTCTCTCTCTTTTGGAGCCATTCCTGAGCTGACTGGAAATGCTAATTAGCCTCTCTGTTCCTAAATTGATCTCCTCAATATCAGGCCTGCTTTTCCTTCTGGGACTATTGTAGGGCATCGTACTCTGCAACTAATGAGGTAAAAGCTGCAGCCAATTGAGATAAAAGCAGCGGCCAATGGTATAGAGTTAGTGATAAATAAATAAAATAAATAAATAAATATAAATAATCAGAAATAGGAAACATTTTCCTGTTACGATGAGTGAAGCAGTGACTTGGCCTATTCTTTCAGCCAATGTTCATTGAGCATTCATTGTAAGCCAAGCACAGTGATGTATTGGAAATGCAGAGATGAGTAAGATGCAGCCTCTGGTCCGTGTAAATAGGGCAGTCACAATGCACTGAACTGTTTGAGAAGATGAAACTCTTCTGCCTTGCACAGTTCAATAGGCAAGCAACCTTTGAGCTAGACATTTAAAGATGTGACCAAGTGGAAAACTAATATATGTACAGAGGCCCAGTCATGAAGAGCGTGACACACAGGATGTGTGTGACCAGCTACACTGTCTGCATAGGGCCTTTCTAGCCCTCATCACATCCACACACTAGGATCCCAGAGCTACTTCACAGTTTTCACTGAATCAACGCGCAGTTTTGAACTTAAGTAGGTCTGTTTACAAAGAAAAATTCAATTTACTGTACTAATTAGCAGTGTTTATCTTTTAAAATGAATTCATAGTTACGTAAATATAAGTAATGAATAAAATCATTAATTCTTGTACTTTTACAAATTCTTTCTTTGAGGCTCTATATAAGAATTAAAGTAAATTCATGGGAGGCTGTGGAGGACACTTGCTGCTCTTGCAGATGGCTGAGATTCAATTCCCAGTTGCCATGGCTGTTCACGAATCATTTGTAACTCATGTTCCACAGGAACAGACGCCCTCTTCTGGCCTTCTTCAGTACTGCATCCATGTGGTACACAGACATCCACGTAGGCAAAATACCCCATATACATAAAATGATATAAAAAATAAAATTTAAAAATAAATAAGTCCCTGGGCTGGCAATATGATAAGAATATTTGCCTAGAATATGCAAGTCCCTGAATTTGGTTTCTAAGATTGTCTAAATAAATAAATAAATAAATGTTAATTTATAAAAGTATTTAATACAGAACCTTTAATAAAGCAAAAAAGCATAATATAATCAAAGCAAAAAAAAAAAAAAGTACTTCACTGGACACCAATGATGTGCATTTCACAGTCTGCATTAAACCAATTGTGAGTGCAGCAAGTTCAAGGGGTGAAGTCAGTCTGCCCAGCAGAGCTATAGAATGTTTAACCTACCTCAGAGGTTTTCAACCTGTGGATCTTGACCTCTTTAGCAAACTTCTATTTTCAAAAAATAAAATTACACTCATGAAGTAGCAACAAAAATAATGTTGTGGTCGGTGGTCACCACAACATGAGGGACTGTGATATAGAGTGGCAGCATTAATTAAGAAGGGTGAGTATAACTGGTCCAGATGGCCTCTTAGCCACCACACAAACTAATTATCATTCTTTTACTAAAGCCCTGGGAGAAAGTATTTTGTCCAAGATGGCGAAGATAAATCTAGAATTGGGGATTTGCTCTTTCTTATGCACTGTTCTTTCCTGAACCATGTGGGAGTAGATTTCTCTTTCAATACTTAATGATTCTGATAAATAAATTTATAGATCTCAAACTTCAGCATGAGTCATCTAGAAACTTGCTTAGGAAAAAAAAAACAGTTCAATATGCCCTGTCCTCTGGAAATAACATTAATATTTTAAATAACACTAATAAAATTCCTAATTTCAGTCTACTGACTAAAGACTTTTCTTTAAGTGAATAATAATAATGGAACTTCTAAATAAGCTATATGGAGACAATATGGATTCATCTCAGCCATGCTGAAAAAAAAAAAGCCACCAAAACAACCAGAAAGAATTAAACAAACACAGAAATAAAGCAAAAGGTTCCACCTCCCCATACCCTAAGCATAAATAAAGGGAGACCACTCAGTAGATATACGCTGACAAAAAATCCTTGGGGGAAAGAAAATTGAAGGATAAACAGGTATTGAATTACCAGAGCACAGACAGCGGACGTGAAGAGCCTACAGGCTGCGCTGTGAAGAAGACAAACACAGAAGCAGAGATTCGGGACAAAGCCAGCTGGGGGATAGATTCCAGGTGAGAAAGCAAAGAGAAGGGTTCTGAGCAGGCCTAAATGAGGACCAATCAGGCTCTGAGGACACCCCTCCCTCCAGAGCCAGGCTAGTTAGTGCCTCTCTTGGGTGATTAAACCAATAACCGCTCTGCACTTGAGATTCCAGTAGCAGCTGAAGGCTGTGCTCACACACAACTTAAATGAGACTGTGTGTGGTAATGCACGGAGCCTTACCTCCTGTCTCCCATGCCGTCTCAGGCAGGTGATAAGAGAATCTTTGTAACAAGCCAGGCTGGAAATGGGGACTTACAAATACTGACATTGAGTGTCTCTTACTCAACAGACCCTCCTGTGAGGCTGCTGACTTCAGCCTCACACACACCAAAATCTTCCTCCCACCCAGGCTAGCCCTTTCTTTGGTCCATTTCAAATACTCATAGACAATGGATAGTTTAATATTTTAAGGAATATGACAGAAATAGAGACACAATTTAAAGTATATGACGAGATACAGACACTAGCAAATATTAACTGAAGTTGTGATTAAATCATTTTAAGGTACAATTTATCTATCTATCTATCTGTCTGTCTGTCTGTCTGTCTGTCTGTCTGTCTATTTATTGTACATGTGTGCTTTATCGGCAGGTACACCTGCATGGTAGAAGAGGGCATCAGTTCCTAGTATAGATGGTTGTGAGCCACCATGTGGTTGCTGGGACTTGAACTCAGTACCTCTGAATGAGCAGCAGACAATGCTCTTAACCACTGAGCCATCTCTTTAGCCCCCAATTAAGTCATTTTTTAAGAGAAAATGTTTTATTACTTAAATAAGCATAGATAACTAGAAAAAAATGAGGGTGATTTAAAGATCATTCGAGGGCTGATAATCCTAGCTACTTGGGAGGCTAAGGCTGAATAATCACAAATCACCCTTCCTGAGATCCAGAGCAGGCTCCAGGCTAAACTGGAACACATACTGAGAACCTGCCTCAAAATATTTTTTAAGTGTTACAGAAGTGGGTATAGATCAGTGGTACAGCATGTGCAAAGCCCTAAGTTGCATCCCTACATCCCTAGTGCCAAGAAAAAAAAATTCTTTAAAGATATAAAATAATAGTAAAAAAAAGTTTTCCTTCTTAACCCTAGATTCACTAATCTTCTAAATCCTTTCTTGGAGAAGTAAACCAGTCTACATCCTTTAATGTTTTTTATCTGTTTTTGAAGTCACATCTCTATTCGACATAGCATGTTTACGTTAATAATTCTTTCCTTTTCTGTGTTACACATTATTTACTGATTCTTCTCCTTGAGAAAGGAAGCCAAAATTCCAGCACATTGCTTCCTCCACCTAACATAGCAGAATTCTTTAGATTAAATCAGTAACTAATATTAATGTTATTGTGAATATGCACTATGATTTACCAAGGCAATGCATACTATTATGGCTCTTTTCCTATTCTTGTAAAATTATTTGCTCTCCTTCGATTACAGGTTAATTCCTAATCTTTTGTTTTACAGTTTGCCTTTACTTTCTATAAATCTTTCAAACTCTCAGTTTGTATAGAGCTGAAAGTTGAATTTAAGGCCATACACATTCTCCCAATAACCACCAACTCTCTCCGTAGTTCTAACTCTGTCGTATTTCCCTCATACCCTGTTTAAGGCTTCTCCTAGAAATCAGGGTCAATTGCAACATTCTGTGGCCTACCCTTTTCTTGTTCTCATCATAGGTGACCTTGATTTTCAGATAACTCATATTAACCTCCTCCAATTCAGTCTAATTTATTTCTTGTGGTTGTAGTTTGCTATCCTGGTGTAGTATGAACAGACTTACACTTACACTTAAAATCTAACTTGGGCACTTGTCAAGTGTGTGGTCTAGTGTCAGGTAAAAGTTCTGGCTCTTCGTTCAGTATCGTACAGCAAGGACCATGGAAGAGGCCTCTTCATGAAATACTCATTTGTTTCATGCATCTTATCAAAGCCCTGGGTGCTATTCTAAGCTTCTTACAGGCATTGTCTCCCTTAATCCTCACAAAAGCCTTAAGAAGTCGACAGATTTACAAACCCCATGATCTATGAAGATTCAGAGGGAGAGTGAATAATATACAAAAGGTCGAAAGGCGGACAAGGAGGAGGAACCAGAGCCGCACTCAGACTTCAAGCTACTACAGAACTCATATACTTTGTATGGGAATATCCACCCAGCAGAAAATAAACCTTGCTGCTTCTCGCAGACACTCTCATCCTAGGGTATCTCTGTACAGCATCGTCTATCTAAGAAGACACTGTTAAGGAACCCATTAGCGAGAACTCAGAACTGGGAGGCAGCCAGGCTGAACAGTAAGTGTCCCACCAAACAGACAGCAGCCTCACAGGCTGGCTCTAACAAGCATTCTTCACTGCATTATTTCACTAACTATTACATCCATTCTATAAAATGCTCACCCTTCATCCCCAGAAGGCCTGAGTTGTAGCTTCTTATACCAGTCTAGTTTACTAGTAACCTGCAGAGTTTACTTAACCCTCTTTCACTGACATGCTGAAAGGATTAAGGAAGAATGTGAGTCCCATGTTACTGGTCATCTGAATTGTTGGGGAAGCACCGTGAGCAGTGGAAAAGACAATTTGATACAGGTACATATATATGTACGCCTCTTCTTGCAAGGCCTTTTAGCTAAGGGTCTAGATTTGACAAATACAAAAAGGTAGTGGATTTTTTCAGGTCCATGCCTGGTAGGCAATGTCTGCTCGAAGCCTTGAGCTCAGTTATCATTGTGGAAATGTCAGCTTTTTTTTCTGCTTGTCTTGTTTCTATTTGGGACACTGTAAGTCAATTATTATTATTTTTCATTTTTTTTTCATCTTAAGGGCCTCTGTTTAAATGTTCGCTTGTATGTTCCTCATTTGGATTATCTCTGTGCCCCACCACACACACACACACACACACACACACACACACACACACACACACAAGGCAAATCTTCTCTGTGGCTATTTCATTAAACTCTGCTATTTGCTTAGTGGATTTTTCAGTGGAACTTTTTCTTTCTGTCAGTTTTTCATACTAATTTCCATTGAAATAGCCTAAATTCTCATTTCTCTACTCTTAATCTAACTCTTTATATTTGCTCCCATGGTCTCCCAGCTTTCCTGATCTTGTATCTAAGCTGTCTGTCCTCTGGACCATTACAGGAAGAATCCTCCACAGGGGCAGCCATAGAAAGTCCCCTTCTTGTTTATTTCTTTCCTGTCTTTTTTCCTTTCTTGATAGCTGCAACTTTTGCAGCAAGAAGCAAGAAAACTGAAGATAATAGCATGAAGGTTTGTAAGATCACGAATGGAGAAGGAAGCAGAGCAAAGGTCCAGAAGATACCATTATCCAGAGATCAGTAACTTGTATTTAAGGCTAAAGACAGGACTGAGAAAAATAGACAGAGAAAGGGATAGATAGTGAGCCGAGTTAAGAGGAACTAAGGGGCTTCCACCAGACTGTTAAGAAGTGTGAACTTTATGACCTCAAAAGTAGAATGGTTTGCTACTCTACAGGTGATTGGGGATTAAGTGTTTGAAATAAAATTCTTCCCATAGGGAAAAAGCAGAATCTTGATGAACTTTCCACTGATTGAAAGTCAGAAAGATGATGAAGTAAATAGGCTTTTAACGCTAGGATGTGGGGTAGGTGGGCGGGTAGGTATTTTCTCTTCTCCCCTTGGAGTAGTGGGAGAGGGCAAAGAGTCTTAAAAATCATATTGTTGATCCAATTATATAATTATGATACTTTGAGATAGTTAGGGGTTTCTGTTGGCTTTAAAACTATTCAGGTGGATTGCTCTTGCTGTATATCCTATTTACATAATCCAGAGTATTGTGACAGCTTGAGTTTCCACATTATTTTTTTTATCAAGGGAACAATTTGAAAGACAGGAAATATGGATTCTGGCTAGGGGAACGGGATGCAGAAGGGGCTGAGCCAAGACAAACTATTTCTTTGTAAAGATTTTACAGAACAACCCCCCGCAGCTAAATATAAACGCTATCTCATAAAAACATACTGTGACTCTGCTCTGATCACCTTCTGCCCAGCCTGGCAATCTTTTCCTTACTTTCCATTTATATCCCAGGACTATGGGATAATAAACTATGTCTTGACCTCTTTAGACACCCCATGCTTTTCTCTATGCTATTATATTATTTGAACAGGTTCCATGAAATACCAAGTTCTCCAAGGTACATTTAAATGAGTTGGTTATATTTGTCTCCCAGTCACATTCTGTGCTTCTCCCAGTGTTTGTTACTCTTTGTCATCCTTCTAGGGCAGTTCAAAAACAGAAATATGTAAACTTACAGGAGAGCAATAGTAAACAATGAACATGAGCAACCCCATACATTGCAATGATACACAGCAGGAAATCTATCCAAGGCTTCCTTACTCAACAATCTGCCCTTATCACTAATGGTCAAGTCATGTGATAAAGATAGAGATTTGCCAAGGTTCTCAGTTTCTTGTTATTGTGTTAAATTTCCAGTTTGTGACAGGAAATAGCCTAGGATTTATAAGCTTTGTAGGCTCTGGCAACTCATTAACTCTTACAGCCAATCTGACATTGGTGAGAGGGGAATGGTAATTGCTTTCGTGTCTCAGGTAAGTGGAACAGTAAACAAATAAGCATATTCCTCAATAAAGAACACATTGCTACTGCTATGACTGTTGATGTGACTGTCTATCTCTGTTTCCACATAGGAAGCATCAATCATTGGCAATGTCAACAAGCACTAACAGTTGCTAATCGTGCACTATGAAGAGCAGAAACTCATAGATTCAAAGCAGCAAAGTGCTATGGCAAGGCTACCTGTATGTATGTAAGGTACACAGGGATGTCAACATGTATGTAATATGCTTATGTACATGTGTTAATATGTATCATCTGTGTAATACAGAGGAAGAGGGATGCAGAAGGGGAATAGTTTTCACCCCATAATGCACTTGAAACAGAATAATGGCTTTCCGAGTGCTGTAGACTAAATTGCGTCCACTACACACACCAAAGTTCATGTTGAAGCCCTAATCCTCTGATATGAGTGTGTCTCAACAGTCTTGCGACTAAGGGAGCCCATAATGCTGAGTCCCTTATTTCAATAAGACTGCCTCCTTATACAAAGAGGAAAGAGATCAGTAAGTACTCAGAAAAACAGAGAAGGACACATCAAGAGGACACCCAACTACAAACTAAAATAGAGGCCTCACTAAAAGGCATTCCTGCTAACACCAAGCTCTTGAACCCCAGCACCCAGAACTATCAGAAAATAAACACACTGTTAAGTACGTTCCTTGGGTATTCCCCTCATTAGCCATAGCAAACTAACATACTAAATAACAGCAGTCTTCTTTGTCACAAAGCTTTCTGCAGCTCCAGAGGAAATAACACAGTCTGATCCTCTAGTCTTCGAGTATCCTATTTCTCCCTGTGTCCACACAAACCTTCCTACATCCCAGTACCCAGGAGGAAGCCTACGTGTCAATGTCCTTCTCTGTATTTGCCTGAAGAGCAAATATTTATATCTGAGGCCTTTGTCTGTTTATGAAACTTCTTTCTGTGGATACACAAGTAGCAAATGTACAGCCATGTTTCCAACCCAGGGAAGTCCACCTCTAACATGTACACACTTTGATTAGAGCCAGCTTCCTTCAAAAGTCTCACCAAGATGGCATATATGAGGAAATCATAAGGCTGGGCTGAAAGCTTGGGCAAAAATTAAGCACAATCTTACGTTCAGACAGGAAATAAGCCAAAACCACTGCTTAAAGATAGATTTGCATAAAATAGAAAAAAAAAAAAAGGACCAGGTGCCTAGACAGAACTGCTTAATTTGATTTTCAGCATTGTCCTCTAATGCTGGATTTAAATAATTCACAGATGTACTGTTTGTTTTTATTTCCTTTTCAGCAAGATCAGATTTGACTTTCTCCCTTACCCCTTAGAAAAAGCATCTGTTTGGGATTTCTTAAGTTCCCAAGGCTAGCTCTAGAGTCTGAAATTAGCTGATGCATGGGAGGGATAGCCATGTGATTGCCCCTCTGCCGGCTTACCTACCTCCAGGCTATTAAGGTTACTGCTGACTATGCTGATAGGAAGAACAGCACAGTCAGATTCTACTTTACTCCTGGAACAAGGGGAGAACATGTAAAAAGTGGAATCTGACCCACCAGCTCCTTCCTGTTGTCTTCTTTTGTTAACATAGAAATCTTTCTTTTTCCAAAGCTTTGAGTTTCTAAACGCCCAGGAACACACGTCTTCATGACTTTATCACTTTGTTAATGCTCTGGAGATTCCTGTTGCTAATTGGTGGTTTTTTTCTATGTTAAGATTGTAAACAAATAGACATTAGTAAGATTTTTAGTTGTTGCCTAGTTTTAGCTCATGCAAAATTATGCTTATTTTTCATTTTATTACATGTCCAACGAAGACAGAAAGAAAACATCATTTATCTACTACTGATTTTTCATTCCTGAGTATTTGACAAAGGAGAAGGAAGGAAGTGATACGACTCACCTTTCAGAACTTACAGTTGAGCATTTGTTTTCTGTAATTTAGGATATTGGACCCAAACTCAAACTGCTTTTTATCCCAGGTCTCAACATGCTCTTCTTTAAAAAATAAAAATAAAAACCAAGGATGAGTGAGTTAGTCATTTATTTCATGACTGTAACCAAACTCTTAACAGAAACAACTTTAGAAAGAAAACTTTTATTTTTTGATTGATTGATTGATTGATTGATTGGCCCATGGCTTCAAAGGACGCTATCCCTGGTCAGCTTGCACATGAGGTTGGGCAGAACATCACAGCAGCAGTAGCATGTGTTCTTGGGAAGCAGAGAGGGGTAGACTAGAGATGGAGCCAAGGTGAGAAATGGCCTCAGAGACATTTGACAAGTGACCTGCTCCCTCCAAGTCCCCTCCACACCTGTCACCACCTGGCTATCACATGATGGATTCATGAAGCGATTAAAACAGATTGATGAGGTCAGAGTCCCCAAGATCTAGCCCTTCCTGGAAATAACGTCAACGGTTGTAACCACAAGTGAGCCTCGTGTGAGGCTCTTTTAAAATTCATCATATTGACACTCAAGTTAACCTCACAGAGGGCATCTGACACACTGCAAAGTAACTTAATTTTGTTTTTTAACACACCATTGATTTAGTAAAGTTTGTAAGACTCTGAGAATTGTCACAGTCAAGGTTGGCTCTTTAGGAAAAACACTATCCTAATTACCCAAAATAGGTAATTATTTCAAAATACTTTTAAAATATTACAATGAAAGTATCTACCTAGTTATAATTTTTAAAAGTGTTTTTCCCTTTTTAAACTTCAGACCCATATACAATGTATTTTAGTCTTATCTATCTTCCTTCCACACCCCTCAATTTTTTGTCTTATGATTTCTATGACTTACTGAGTCCAATTTGAACAGTCTATATTTACATAGATGAAGGGCCATCCACTAAAGAGTGGACAATCGATAAGAGGGCACAACCCTGACTAAAACTGACTTTCCTTACCCCCAACATGTTTCAACTGTTGTAGTTTTCAATAGGAGGGAGGGTCCTGTGAGCCATTTTCCATGCATGGTGAAATGTTGACTGACAGGCCCTGGGCCATGGTCTCTATGAGCACATGAGTGCAGTGGTTGTATTATGTCCAGAAGACACTACTTTAAGTCTTTACCCACAACTCTTGCAATCTTTCTGCTCCCTCCTGTCCAATGCTCTATGTACCGTAGAAGGAGTGATATGTGTGTGTGGGGGGGGGGGGGGTTGAGTACTTCACAGTCTCCTATTCTAAGTATTTTCATAAGTAATGAATCTCTGTATTAACTCATTCCACTGCAATTAGAGGCATCTCTGATGAGAGAAGAAAGCTGCATTCATCTATGGTTACAGGGAAAGTATTTAGAAGGCAGATTGATGCTATGCCTACTTGGCAAAATAATAGTAGGAAGATCTCCCCAAAGGCACAGAACTCTTACCATTTAATTAGGAGAGGATAGAGGACATTGATAACCCATGATAACACAATATGAACAAAAATTGGTTTCCAAACAAAGAAATGTATAAAGCAGAATTTGACATTAGAAACAAAAGATTCAGGATTTGCACATGCTGGAGGGAAGTGTTTGCACTGTGAAGGTGCCTAAGAGGATGGCAGAGATATTGGGAAGCCATTCCACTGACAACCTTGAAAATGTTTCTTGGTTTTTTTTTTTTTCAATCTTCTGGCTAAACCTGATCAATCTAATTATCATTAAAGTCAGAAGAAGGAAGATAATTAAAATTACCTACCTGCCTGGGTTTTCTCCATAAGAAATAGAGAAAGAAAGGTTGCATTGTAAGGGTTCGTGATTTGCTAAGAATGATACTCCAGATTCAAATTGTATGCAACAGCAAAGATCATTTATTCTGCAGAGAACCCACATGCACAGGTCCACCATACATCAGGATGGAAGACAGAAGTGTAGACTTTGCATGGTCAATTTAAAACCTATTAGGGTACGAGTGAGTGACTTTTACCTTTCTTTTCCTTGATTGGTTGATTCTATCTCCAGGTATAGATGCCTTGGTTAAGGTTCTGGGGCATTTTGAAGACTTTTGCTGATTAACTACACTTGGCTCAGGCTAGGCGATTGGACAGCTTCCTGATTGGCTGAGCGTAAGGGGTGTTTTTTTTCCTGGAATTGACTTGTTTTGGACTTTTCAATTCTGGGAAACAGAAACTTAGGCCTAGTCTCACAAACTTCCAGTTTGTACCCTGTCATGGAGTCACCCTGGCACTGACTTAACTCTGTCCTCTCAGCATGAATGTTTGCAAGGTGGGGTTTACTTTTCATATTTTTTGTAGTCCCTCATTGAGACGCAGGCGTGGGAGGTATGGCCTGCAAGCAAACACAGGGCTACTTGGGTAGGCTGGCTGTGTTCTCTGACTTGACTAGGCAAAGAGAAGGCATTACAGTTGCCTGCTCTCATTATGCAAGGAGGCAGCTTCAATTATATAGAAGCTTCCTGTTCTTTTTATTTTATGTCAAGAGTATTCCATCAACTATTATAACTATAAAGAATACAACAAGATTTTAAAAAAACAAAAAATATACAAAAATCAATAGTATTTCTGTACACTTGTAAGGAATGATATAAAAGTAAAAATTTTAAATTCATTTATAATAACACAAAAAGAATAAAGTACATCATAATAAATTAAATGAAAGCAGCACCAAAGGCATTAAACCTGTAATGCAGTCTGTAAACTACAAACCACCATGAAATATATTTTGAAAAGAAACAAGCAAATGTTCATAGATTAGAAAAATCAGTATTGATTAAAATGGGTATATTCCTCATTCATCTGGAGATTAGGTTTGATGTCTATTAGAACTATAGCTGCACCTGCCTAAACATACTAAATAAAAATAAAATAACAAGCAAGGAAGGAAAGAGGAAAAAAGAAGAAAGAAAAGGATAAGACAAGAGAAATTTTGCACCTTCCCTGAGGCAAAAGGAGGGTGGGTATGGGGTGAAGAACTCTTGGAGGGGGAAATGGGAAAGGGGGGCAATATTTGAAATGTAAATAAATAAAACAATTTTTTAAAAAAAAAAAAGTCTATCAGAGACCCTAAAATAAGTGTCAACAATGTGTGACTGGGAGGAAAGCTTAAAGCTAAATCCCTGTCACCTGGAATTTGACAAAGGGCTTTTAGCCATGAGGCCAAAAGGACTAGCAACAAAAGAAAACAGGAAATATTTTGAACATCTTCAAATATTAAACAATACATTAGCTGCCCTGTTCTGTCTGTCTCTGACTTATTCCTCTGAGACAGGGCTTCTCACTGAACCCAGGGTGCTACGCTGGCAGCCAGCAAGCCCCAGTGGTCCTCCCATACCCACAGCAAGGCGGTTACAGGGGGTATGGTTGACCAAATTTGGCTTCTAGTGGGAGTGCTGTGGATTTGAACTTATGTCCTCATGCTTGTTTAGCCCTAATGTCTAATGTACTCTGGCTTTTGTGTACAGCGGCACATTCAGAGACACATAACAAATACACAAAAATAAAAATTCTTGAAGTGGTCAAGAAGCATATAACAATATTCTCAAAACTATTGTTCATCAAGGGGGACTTCAATGAGAGGATGCTGCACACTCCTGAGATGATGAGACCCAACAGACACTAACAAGAATGCAGAAAGCTCAGAGCCCTCACGTACTGTAGCGGTAATGAGAAAGAAGCATGGTGGCTCCTCCAGATAACAACCTTGAAGAGTCTCAGAGAATTACCTGCGGAACTGCAGAGTTCCTTAATGACCCAGCATTTCAACTTCTTGTGGCACAGCACGGAGAAATAAAAAGTTACATGCACACAAAAGCTAAACATTATTATAGAATTAGTATTCAAAACAGACAGAAAGTGTAAAAACCCAAATGTCCCTCAAGTGGCAAATAGAGAAAAGGGGAGATCACAGTACTGGGTATGAGGTTTCTGAATGTCATAGTTAGAAGTCTTCAACTCATTTCGATGGTTGCAAATATCTAAGATTGTATGAAAGCATGCTCATATTTATACCATAAATGAGTGAAGAGCGTCTTAATAAAGCATTTGAAAATGTATTTACCAAATGAGTTATCTGAGAAGAAACTTGAGCTATTGATGCTGGCACGTTCTACATTTTCACCTAATTCTTCATTGCTCTGGTCAGAATTTCAGTACAGTTATTCTGATAATACAAAGCACACCAGAAATCCTCTTCATGTCTTCAGGACATTGGGAGAAAAATTGTTACTTCTTATTTTGGAACTTAATGGTCTTTACTATCATCACAAGAGTAAAGAAGTTACATGTGAATGTTTAACGTATAAGTTAAAAGTTATACCAGGTCTTTACCACCATCCTTTCACATAAATAAAACTTATGCTTCCCACGGAAAGTATAGGAATACACTACACACCCTGCCCTTTAAATTTCATCCAGGATACTGGCATGTAGTAGACCCCCCTTGAATCTTAGAAAAAGTTGTCTTAGAGTTGCTATTACTGCATTGAAACATCATGACCAAAAAGCAAGTTGGAGAGGAATTTATTTGGCTTACACTTCCACATTGCTGTTCATCACCAAAGGAAGTAAGGACAGGAACTCAAACAGGGCAAGAACTCGGAGGCAGAAGCTGATGCAGAGGCCATGAGGAGTGCTGCTTACTGTCTTGCTTCTCCGGGTTTGTTGAGCCTACTTTGTCACAGAACCCAGAACCACCTATTCAGGGATGGTATCAACCACGATGGGTGGGTGTGGGCACTTCCTCATTGATCACTAATTGAAAAAAAATGCCTTCTTAATGAGCTTCATGTGGTCTGTGAGTTGAATCTTGGGTATTGCGAGCTTTTGGGCTAATATCCAATTATCAGTGAATGTATACCATGTGTATTCTTTTGTGACTGGGTTACCTCACTCAGGATGCTATTTTCTAGTTTTATGTGGAGGTCCTTTGTTCACTTGGACTTGAGCTTTATACAAGGAAATAACAATAGATCAATTTGCATTCTTCTATGTGCTCACCTGCAGTTGAACCAGCACGATTTGTTGAAAATACTGTCCTTTTCCCACTGGACAGTTTTAGCTCCTTTGTCAAAGATCAAGTGACCATAGGTGTGTGGGTTCGTTTCTGGGTCTTCAAAACTCACAAACCACAAGAAGCTCATGAAGAAGGAAGACCAAAGTGTGGATGCTTCAGTCCTTCTTAGAAGGAGTAACAAGATACTCATGGGAGCAAATATCGAGACAAAGGGTGGGACAAAAAACTGAAGGAGGGGCCATCTGGAGACTGTTCCATCTGGGTATCCATCCCATGTGCAGTCACCAAAGATAGATGCTGATCTGGATGCCAGGAAGTGCAGGCTGACAGAAGCCTAATATAGCTGTTTCCTTAGAGGTCTGCCAGAGCCTGACATGTACAGAGGCAGATGCTCACAGGTAACCATTGAAATGATCTTGGGGTTCCCAATTGAGGAGTTAGAGAGAAGACTGAAGGAGCTGAAAGGGTTTGCAGTCCCATGGGGAGAGCAGCAATACCAACCAACCAGAACTCCCAGGGTCTAAACCACCAGCCTAGGAGCACATAAGGAGGGACCCATGGCTCCAGCTGTATATGTAGGGAAGGATGGCCTTGTCGGGCATAGATGGGAGAGGAGATCCTTGGTCTCTTGAAGGTTGGATGCCCCAGTGTAGGGGAATTCGAGGGCGGAGAGATGGGAGTGGGAGGTGGGTGGGGGCACATCCTCATAGAAGCAGGAGGAGGGGGGATGGGATTAGGGGTTTCTGGGCAGGGGAGAAATGGGGAAAGGGGATAATATCAGAAATGTAAATAAAATATCCAATAAAAAAAGAAAAAGAAAAGAAATGCCTTACAGCTGATCTCCTGGAGGCATTTCCTCAAGTGAGGCTCCTTTCTCCTTGATGAGTCTAGCTTGTGTCAACTTGACCCCAAACCAGCCAGTCCAAAAGGATAGAGGACACTCCTAAGAAATACCCCACAACAGTGGCAGACAGGAAGAAGAGGTGGACAGGTAGGATAGGGAGGCAATGCTTCTGAATGTTTTTGCAAATGAAGAAGAATAAAAATAATATATAACGAGTTAGATAAGTCTTGCAATTGTTCTTATTTTTCATTTTGGTTGTATGTCAAATTTTCTGCTCCTCATCAACAAATACTTGTATTCATGAAGTGATATAATTATACCCTCTAAAGTACCTTCTCTCCCCTTTTCCTGTGTAGGAGCGTGTGTGTGTGTTTCTAAGTCCTCTGAGCACTCATGTTCTTTGATCCTGTTAGGTTTTCAAAACACATCTTCTGTTTCTAAGACGAGCCACTGCAGTACTTAGCCCAGAAAGTGATTCTAAACAGAATAATTTTAAGACCCATGAAACACCTGCATTAAAATTTAAGTAGTAAAGAATTTTTATGTTTAAAACTGAACTAAGATAATATTAAACAAGCAAGTAAAAGTTTATATGGCCAACTATCCAAGTTTGATCTTTTATACAATTGGAATAATAATATTTAAGAGGCAGCTCACAACCGAGTGAAACAAATTAGTGTTTCAAACATCCCTATTTTGTTATTATTTTATAAAATAATGAGTCAGAGCTCATTCTAGTAGTTGGGTTATTTTATATTTGACTACATAAAAATGTCTCTCTACCCAGACCTTACAAAGGAATTGTATCTTTGCTGGGAAATGCAGAGTTACCGGGGAGTCCCAGATTAGTATGTTTTCCTTATGCAGAACTAAAAAGGGCTTTCCTGGAACTTCTCCTCCCTTGACTCTTTGAAGAAATAGAAATCACCCTAAATTTCAACCCAGACCCAACTGAAATTGGTAAGAAAAATGTACTTCAAGCTTGTTTTTTCTTAAATTATATGGATAATGAATGTATGGGACCTTTCTAC